TGTATGTATGGCTGATGTGCAGAACATAAAAGCCCTAGGAGATGACGACAAAGCCACGTGGTAGAGGAGAGTGCAGTGACACCATGTGTGTCTGGAATAGCAGACAGCCTTGATGCTTGTCTGAAGTCACGATTTTGTTGCTCCATGAGCGAAAGCTCAGCCAAGGAGCTTTGGCACCAGGCTAATGGGGTTATGCCTACGACATAGGGAAACCGAACAACAGAGGTAGGTCGAGAGGGTTCATGCAAACAGTCTACAGCCTGGACCTCCCTTTGGCAAGCTTGGCAGTAAGTGCGTCAAGGCTGGTTCCTGTGCAACTTCTCTGGATTCCCCAGACGCTTGATTAGGTGTGCCAGCCTCTCAGTGGGCAGCACAGCTGTAACACTAGGAAAAGCCACGCCCAGGCCAGAGGGAGAAGTGAGGATCCTGACAGACAGTACCTCCTAAAGGCATTTCTGGTAGATCCCAGATAACTCCCCTGACCTCCCCCCCTGCCACCCCCACCCCACCGGCAATCCTCCCGCCTCATCTGGGGCTGTATGTAATGGGGACCAAATGCAGAAGCCCGTTGTGTCTTGCCACTAGATGGCAGAGGGTCTCCTGTTGCTGGGATATCATCGCCGTCACTTCTGGCTTCCTGGCTGGAGGGTGAGGGTGTCTGTGCAGTTGTGTTCCTCAGGAGAATATTTTCTCCTCCCACCTGAGACCCAGCACCCTGATGTGGAGCTTTAGAGAGATGGTTTGTCATAGGTTTGTGTTTGGAGGTCAGTGGCGTGAGGCCACTGGGTTAGCCACCCACTGTTAGAGCTGGCTGAAGGGAGTGTTGACTAGTGGTTAGAACGGGGGCCTGAGAGCCTGGACTCCTGGGGTCTTTCCTGGCTCTGTGGCACATTAACCTACTGTGGCCCCCGTCCTCTCAGTATGCGGAGTGGTGGAATGCCTGCGCCACTGGGCTTTTGAGACTTGATGCGTGTCTGTGATTGAACCTCTTGGGGAGTCTCCGAGGTGAAACCTCGAAAGAACTAGCTGCTGCAGGAAGTGGTTCTGTAGAATCAGCACTGAGCCAGTGTCCCAGCACAAGTTGAAGGGTGCTGTGCTGCTGTGGATGGGACTTAAACCACAGGGCCTGGCCACTTGGGGCCACTTAAGGACCCCATGGCACTTTTCATATGACTAGGGACTCCGAGCATTGTTCCAGCTTGGCTTCTCTACATCAAGATCTCTATCAGGATATTTATATTACACCAGTGGTTTTCAACCTGTTGTCCACATACCCCTGGGGGTCTGAAGACTACATCTAAGATTTCCAAAGTGGGCTGCATCGCCCTTTGACATTTTTTAGGGGTCCACAAATGAAAAACAATTGAAAACCCATAACCGTGGTACCAGAGAACTAACTAACTAAAGTGCTCTGAGCTTCTCATTGTGAAGTGACAGAGAACGGCAAAGGACTATTAAAACAATGAACAACTGTTCTGATTTTGATATATTCTCCACCCCCTTTTCTGCAGGCGAAGGAGCGAGAGTTGGAACTGAAAAACACATGGTCCGAAAACAAACTCAGCCGGCGTCAGACCCAAGCCAAATATGGATTTTAGTACCTCTCCTATTTTGTGGGCATTAGCCCAGATGACCTACCATGTCAGACTCCTCCTGGCCTACCAGGAATTGAGGAGGCCCCTGGATCTAACTGTGTGGGTGGGAGGATACAGCACTCCCCTGTCTGTGAAGAGAAGGGTTAAATACTAACCATTTCTGAAACCCACGCTGTAATTTTTTTAATGATAATGTAGAAGGCTCAAATCAAGTCTGGTTCGTGCAGCTGGGGACTCTAGCACCGGACAGCCACAGGCTTGTCCAAAGAGGACATGACTGGCGCAAAGTTTTGAGCTCTCATCCTGTAGGTGTACAGACTACCAATTTTTTTCTTTAGTCACCAGAACCTTAGGTAGAGTCTCAATAAATTTCCAAGTCCAACACTGCTCCTTTCTTTGGTCCTACCGTGTGTCAAGAGTGTAATTTCCTTTCTGAAAGGCAGTTTCAAGGGCAAACTTTTTGTATTATTATTATGACTATTATTTGAAAAACCCTTTGGGATAGTTCAGTTTGTACTTGTGTAGACACATTTCTCTTCTTACAAGCAATCTCAGCAGGTTTGAAGTGTGTCTGGTTCTTTTGTTTTCCTTGCCATGCCCTCCTGTAAATTTTGAGTCACTTTTGAGGGGACATTTTTGTTTTCAAGGTCGATGTTGGCTAACAAGACGGTGCTTGTTTCAGTTTGAAAACAGCGCACAGATACCCCCAATCTCTGGACTCCGCGGAAGATATTCTGGTTTCCTCTGCCAGCACAAGAAGCTATTGTAAGCTCTGGGACATGTAAGAATGGGGTAGGTGTGGGTGTCCCCAAGCCAAGGCCCAGAGCGCTGTAAAAATCTGATGCAAATGCTAGTTGAATCCAAGTATTTCTGGGGTGAGATGGTGCCCTGCAGCTCGCAGCGAACTGAAGTCACCACAGTATTTCCTGTAATAATCCAAACCTAGGCAAAAGCTGCCTACAGCACAAATTTTTAACCTATCCGCCTATCTCTATAATGCCTAGTTCCTGCTGAGGCACCAACTCTGGTTTAAATGTTAACTCCACCCACCTGGCTGGAAAAGGGAGGCAATGTCTTGACTTAAACTTGTTTCACAGAACACTTGAAAAATGAGTTTCTTCATTTCACTTAAGATGGTGGACTTCCCAGAGGCAGAGACGGGCATGTCTGCATAGTACACAGGCCAGCTATTCAGATGTGTGTGTATCTGTTCATTCTTGCTGGCCTCACTTCCTAGTTCATTGTTTGCTGCTGAACTCTTATGATGCTGAAGCAAGGAGTGAGTCGGTCCAGTTCTTTAAGTTACATTCCCGACATCAAAGGTTTTATTTGTTGTACCACAACTAAAGCAGTTAATTGCGGCAATTCCATTGAGGAAAACGCCAAAGGGCAACTTGCTCCCGTCTACCCCGTTCCCCCCCCTCCAAAGAAAAGGACGTGGTAAATGAAGTCTGACAGTATTTTAAAATCAGATTATAGGTTAGTTCCCTGGATGTTTTAGTACTTTGCAAAGCCCGTTTTGAGTGTTCCAATGACCAGAATAAAGTTACTGTTGAGTAATTTATTCCTATCTTATCTGTACAGTGAAATCCTCTGAAAAGAGATTTGATAAAGGAATAAAACTTTTAAACGAACCAAACCACCCCTCTGGTTGCCTCTCCAGGCGATGGGATTGTTCACACCCTCTTGTCATTCTCAGGAACTGGACTGGCAAAGGAGTGATTAGATCTTACCAGTTTTAATACTGAACCCACAGGGCCTGACTCCTGTGCACCAAGGCCCGGTTGCACCCTACTGGCATGGAGCTTTACAATGGATACCGCTGTAACTTACACCCACTTTAAGGCCCCTTTCCTCTGCCAGAGCTGCGAAAAAGGACCCTTGAGGCTTGTCTACACATACAGTGCTATCATGGCACTGCCGTAATGCTTCGTGAAGATGCTACCTACACTGACAGGAGAGAGCGTCTCCTGTTGGGGTAGGTACTCCACCTCCCCGAGAGGTTTGGCTGTGTTGACGAGAGAAGCCCTCCTGTTGACATCGTGCTGTGTACAGCCGTCGGTATACCTGTGGCACTGGGGTGTAGACTTCCTACATGCCTGAGTGATGCAGTTGTACTGACGTAAGTCTATAGTGTAGACCCAGCCTTAGTCTTAATGGGAATCAAGGCCAGGACCCTGAACAGCTGGGACTACTCTAAACATATACACAGGCGACTTTGTGCCTGAGTCTTGGCAGTCTTTCTACATCGGAGAATAGGAGGTGACCTTGCTGGGCAAAAGGTGGAAACCAAAACTGTTCCCCCCTCCCCTGGAATTGAACAGCTGGGGCAGTCACAGGTCAGTGAGGGGCTGAAGAGGTGACTGCCTCTCAAAGTGCCAGTTGCTCAGGCCTTTCTCCTGCAGGTGATGTGTGAAGGGACAGCCGGAGTTTAAAGGGAGACTTCAGGGCTAGGGAACATTCAAATGGCTTCTTCCGGTGGAGCTGAATCATGCAGGGGCAGATGCTGGCTCATATGAGCCTGGCAGTTGCTTTTACGCTGGTCTGTTTGGTGGTGGGGTTTGTGGCTGCCCTCCCCACAAAGAAGTGGTAGGTCTTAGGGTGGAGAAGGGGAAGAATTAGGCAGACACCAGAAGCTCTCTGGCTGCCTGCTGCTTAGTAGCCATGTTGCCAGGTGCACACTTTTGAGTCAGGTTACCCCCAGGAGAGGGGCTGCGTTGGGGAAGAGGTGTTGGGGGTCTTAGGGACCTTTCACATGTTTAGGATTTCTGGTAAGTTTCACCTTCACTCTGAATTTTTTTTTTTTGTTCCTAACTGCAGCGTTCCCTAGGCCTTTCCTCCGTATGTTACCTAGTGGAACCCTCAGTCGCTCTCCCCAGGCGATGAGACTTCTTGCAAACCATCCTTGTAGCGTGCAGCATTTCCAGCCTACCACCTTCCACAATCCATCTGTTTCGTTGCCCTGCCACTCTCTTCCCACATCCCCCAGTACCTCCACCCTCTGTGCCCCTTCCCGCTGCCACGTGCTGCTCCTAACTGGCAGCTGTTCCTTGCAGCAGCGATGACACGAGGGGGCGGGGAATCCTGTCTCTGCTACTGGGCCTGAGCCTAAAGACCATCCTTCCTCTCTGAACATGCTGCCTTCGAACCTGCCTGGCGACCCATCGGGGGTGGGGAGGGAATTATCGCTGTGCTTGGGCCGAGCAGCATCCGGATCAAATACTTCTCGTTCTATTTGTTTTCTCTGAGGATGCTAAGACACCATAAGGGCAGTTCATGGCTCACTGAAGGCCCATCGCTTTTATTTACAGACAGCACATGGCAGTGATAAATTCTTGCCCTGAGAAGTGGGAACGAAAAACAGCCCATCGTGGTTACAGATCAAGCAGCAGAGGGTCCATAGGACTTAACATGGAATTTAAACCCTGAAGCTGCCCCTTATGTAAACAGGATTTAAATGCCACCCGCCCTGCATGCAAGTCGATTTCATCCCATTTGCTTCTGTTTATTCCCCTGATTTAAAAATAAAAATCCTTCTTATCTGAACAGCTCTGCGGTGTCAAGTCAGTGGGTATCTCCGTCGACGCTAGAGGGTGTTCGTCATCCCATTTGGGCTTGGTAGTTCCACCCCATGAAGCAGCTTCTATGACTGCCCAATGACACCAAGAAGCAAAGACCCCCTCCGGGTGGGGGGGAAGGAGATAACATCAAGGGTCCAAAAAAGCCGTGAGTCTTGAGTATCAAGCAACTGAGAGCAGGAGGGATGGGAAAACCGACAAAGCTGGTGTCGTAGCTGTGAGGAAGAGACTTTGTGAGCCAAAGACCTCACTGGGTTTTTTATTGGCGTTGGATCTCATATTCCTTTCCATGGAAAGATCTTCCCTGCTTCCTGAAACTCCCACCCTTGGAAGGGGGGGGAGAGCATGTGATCCTTGAATTCATGGAGGAGGCTGCTCCATGCGCAAACGTGAGAGAGGTGGTCAGAGCAGCAGTGTCTTGAGGGCTTATGTCTGCAGCAACTCTGTGTCCTAGCCCTGGTCTACACTAGTGTAGACATATCCTTAGAGAGCAGCTGATGGGGAAGAAGTCTTTTCCGGCAGCTCTCAAGCCCAGGAACCCTTGGCAGGGGGTGTCCTGCCGGCTTGCCTTGAATGCGGGAGGGCTCTGAAAAGAGTGAAAATGCTTGTGTCAAGCCTCCCAAAGGATCGGGTGTTTGCCATTTTCCTCTTCCCAGCTCAGGGAAGGGTGGGGAGGGTAGCCACTGCAGGAGCTGGGCGTCAGGGCTCGCTTGGGGGATATGAGGGACCGCAGGCAGCTTTTGTTGGCGGGTGTAATGACACAAGTTATGGAGCATATGACTTCTTGCTATTTAGGTGGCAGAAAACTTAAATCCCTTTGAGAAAATCTAGCAACTTCCTAAGAGGTTAAGACCCCCCCCCGTGTCCCTTCCATCTCATAGTTCTCTGTCTTTTCTCTTTCTTCACTCTGTTGAGGGTGGCTGTGGCTGGCTATTTTCACTGCGCCAATGTTAATTTTGTGCCACTTGCTTACAGATTAACTAGCAAACAGGCCGGGCCAGTGTCTTTTAAGAATTATAGAATTTAGATACTGTGATGACTATAAAGATGCAGCTCTATGGGCCTGGTTCTCAGTAACTCTGACCTACAGATGCTGGCCTGGAGTGCAAAGGGGCCGCAGAGCGGATGGAAATGGCTGGATGAAGATCCCCCTAGCTCTCTGGGTAGTGTGGAGCTGGTGAAAGGAACCTGCTCCCATCTGTTGGGGTAGGAGGTGAATTGAGGGCATGGCCAGAGAACCATAGAGGGCCCAGCACCTGCTTATGGGGAGTGCAAAGATGGGTGAAAATCCATCCCAGCCCCAAGCCTAGTAACGGGGCAACTGGTAATATATCACCCTCCGGCTCTTATCCGCCGTCCATCTCAACGAGGGTAAATATCATTATCTCCATTTGACTGATGGGGAAACTGAGGCACAGAGTGGCAAAGTGACTTGTACAACAGCAGGCTAGTGGCAGAGTTGCGCATAGAGCTGATGTTCCTTGACTCTGTCCTATGCACTAGCCCCTAGACCAAACTGCCTCCCTTTTGTGTTCAAGTCGGTGTTAAAATTTTAACCCGCCTTTGAAGGGAGGCTCCTGTCAGTTTAGCCTACAAATGGGGTTTGTTTGTTTTTTAATTAAAAAGCAAATTTTCCCCTCAAAAGGCTACTACAAGAAATGCCTTTCCCCCTTCTTCGAGATTAATTCAATCCTGTCCTGTCCTCCCCCACTTCAATCCCTTGAGGGTTTGTGAGCCGGAGCAGGGCTGCAGGCTGGAGCGGGAGAACCTGAAAGTGATACTCACTCGCCCAGGGGTAGGTTCCGCACTGCAGTGGTGCATGGGCCTCGTGCTCTGTCTCTCTCTGCACAGTGGGAAATTTCAGCCACTGACGGCCTGATCCTACCCCTGATGAAATCCAGGCTCATTGCAATGGAGACTGGATCTGATCCATGGGCCCGAGTCCCCCTGCGCTTTGCGGTGTCATTTGTCCCAGTGGGTGTGAACACTAGCTGTGGGCTGACATGATGCATAAGGGCTGACTTTCCCCTTCTGCCTACCTAATTTCTTCTGGATTTTCCCTAATACCTACCTATGAGTTACTGCTCCCCGATGCGTGCGGGCTAGGATGGTCTCCAGAAATCAGCTCGTAAATGTTTTCTAGACCTTCCTGTCCCCTGGTGGCCGTCGGTCTGGTCAGGGTGGCTGCCTTCCTGCCGTAAACCGGGTCGTCAAACTCCAGCGGGTTCTGAGGGGAAGGAGAGAGGGAGAAAGTGAAAGGAACGCAGAATTGCTCTGCGCCATTCCTATTCACGCCGTGTGGTGCTGGGGAGAGGCATGGGACGGGCAGCACGGGGGACAGGGATTCCTGGTGCACCCACAGAGCAGGAACAGCATAAATCACGGCCCCCCACTCCATGCATCATCCCCCACCGATATGCCTCAGCCCTAACTTCAGCGGCAGCGTGGGTCTGTGGGTAGGGCACTGACATGTGACTCAGGGAAGCTGTGTTCTGTTCCTAGCTCTGCCACCGCTCCACTGGGTGAGCTTGGTCATGTCCTGCTCTGTGCCTCAGTTCCCCCTCCCACCCTCTGTCTTTGCTGCATAGATTGTCAGACAGAGACAGGCTTTTGCTATGTATCTGCATCACCCAGCACAATGGGGCTCTGATCTCAGGTGCAGCCTCTAGGCATTACCATAATACTTCAGAATAGTGGAAGGTTTAGGGGAAATCAGTCTCCTTGGCCCATTAAGTCCGCGGTCTCTTTACCAGCAGAGGTGGGAAATAGCATTGGTGGGTTCTGTGGGAGAGACCTCCACCCACTAGGATTGGGACTGAGCCCCACCAAACTCATTGCACACAGGCCCCCAAACAGCCAGCAAGCGTGAATAACCAGTGGGATGTGAACCGGCGCCCCGAGTGTGTTTCAGGGCCCATCAGACTCAACTTATCCTGCCCCCTTGTGGCCATTTAAAGTGCCGCTCCCCACTTGTCCTTCCACGTGGCACCCACCTCCGAGGATTGCCCAGATGGCCTCCCCTGGGCCCCCTCGATGGCGAGAGCTGCAGGCAACCGCCTCCTCCGGGACCCCTGCCCCGACGTGCTCCGGAGGAGCCTGCGGTGTCCTGGGGACGGCTCGGCGGGAGGTCTGGATGAGCCCCGAGGCAAGGTGGACGCCGTGTCCTGCAGCACTCTGGGTAGAGCCTGGGGCCGGGACCGGCACGCCAGCTCTACCTCCGCATAGATGTTCTCGGGGTCGGGGCTGGGCAGCGAGCCTCGTCCCATGGCGTAGAAGGGGATGGGCTCGTCGGGTTCACAGTAGATGCGGCGTTCAGGGGGCGGGAAGCCCTCGCAGGGCTCGGCGTAGGTGTGGAAGCGCATTAGCTGCTGGTACTTGGCCTCTGCGGGCTGGGCCGGTGTGGGCTGCTCAGCGGGGACGGGCGCTTTGCTGACGTGGGCGTAGGGCTCCACAGAGGCCCCTGCCTCTTGCACAGGGCTGCTCGGCCTCGGAGTGGGGCCAGCCTTGGCGGGGAGCAGGGGAATGGCACAGGGAGCCTAAGGGAGGAATGAAATGAAGTCAGCTTCCGTCTAAGCAGCCCTGCTCCTCCCCTCTTTGTCTGTGTCCACGTTTACCTCCTTGGAAGGGCTTCCCTCGTTCCTTTGCTCTGCAGCCAGCGGGCAGGGATGGCTCTGTTGGCCGGGGGCCTGGGGCTGTCTGAGAACCAGGCTGTATGCTTGGCCGCCTGCTGCTGGGGGGACATTTGCTGGCTCGAGTGGAGCACCAGACCCTGCTTCAGCTCCAGCCGGGATCCCACCACTCTCTTGGCTCTTGTCGCCCTGTGGCAAAGGGAAAAGCTCCTGAGCGATAGACGTGGCATTAGGTCTGGGGTTCCATGACTGGGACTCCTAGGTGCTACGGCAATAAAAATTGCAAACTGCAACAGAGCACAGGGCTGGGTGTCAGGACACCTGGGTTCTCTTCCTAGGGTGCAGGGCGTAGTGGGGAGAACAGAGCACAGGGTAGCTGGACTCCCAGCTTCTATGCCACTGATTCACTGTGCCACCTGGACCAACTTGCCTTTCAATTGCCTCATGGTGGGGAAATACTCCCAGTGCACCGGGGATAGTTCTGCACTGCTGCATGTCTGGGGTGAGGGGGGGACAATTCATTCAGGTGCTAATTACTGTAACATCTGTGACTGCCTCGCATTCCACGGCTGTCATGGTGCTGACCTCAGCCCCTCCTGTTGCACAAGCCCAGACCCATGCTGCTTGGCCTGGGGAATCCCCATCAGCAGTATAGGGCCTATGACACACAGCGGAACAATTCTGATCCCCTCCAGCAGAGGGCAGTGGTGACACCAACCAGCCAGCACATCCCCATGCCTTTCTTATGACGGCAGTTGCGGCATTCAAGCGATCCCTGGGCGCGCAGTGGGATGTCAGGCGCTCTGGGCGAGTCGCTCTCTTACCCTGGGGCATGGTGCTGTCAGGAACTCATCGTAGGGGGTGACGGGGGCGGTGGTGTAGTGCAGAAGCAGACCCTGAAGCTCGACGTGGGCGCTGTTCTCTCCTAGGATCACGTAGCACTCGTCTTCCAGCTGATCTAGGATGAAGTGCCGGCAGCGATCTCTGCCCCTGGAGCCCAGAGAGAAATCAATACAGGGGGTGAAATTCCATCCACACCGGAGTGACTGGGAATTGCGCTACTTCCACCCAGTGGCTCTGGCTCAGTGGCGTCCAGGTCTTCAAGGAACCGGGGAGGCCAGTGGGGTTGGAAGAGGCGCTCCCACGTTCACGATACCCACAACACCAGCGTTGTGTGGCTCCTTGTCCCCCACCGTCCCCCAGGCAGCTGGGCCATGTAACAACAACGATCCTCAGCTCTGAGAGACCGACTGGCCCTACACAGTGCGGCGTTCAGCAACCAGCATCGATGGGGGCCTGGCGAAGCACAGAGAGCAGCGAGTGGGGCTGGGGCAGCTTGGAGATCTCACCTGCGAGGCTGGCTTAGGAGCAAGGGGCAGCCAGGTGACCTCACCTGTACGACAAGACAAATCCCATGGTGCTTTCACTGAAGCGAATCAGGAAAGAGCCCAGCGGCTTCTCCTGCAGCAGCTGCTCCGTGTCCCTGTGTGGGAAGGACAAACGAGGTCAGAAATAATCCAGGTGGGAAGCCAAGTGAGGGGGCAGCAGCTCCTGGGTAAGAGATGTGGCTTGGTAGGGCTGGGGTAGGAGCTGCTGGTAGTTCGGGAACAATATCTCAGCCCCCCCCAGCCCCCCGCCAGGCTTGGAAAGGGGCAGTCTAGGCATGGGGACTCCTGCAGGCTCGCAGCCTCCTGTGTCCTGGCATGCAGCGAGTGGGGGCAAATCCAGCTTGTTAGGAGAGGAGCTGGGGAAAGAACCCAGGAGTCCTGGCTCCCTGGCCTTCCCCACTGCCGCTCCCTTCATTTAGGCAGGAGGGTGAAACTCCTTCCTTAGCCCTATTTGTGGCAGCAGGGCATGGCGCTGCCTGTGGGAACAGCCCCAGGGTCCAGGGGATGCTGCTGTGGGGCCGAGCCACGTACCTCCCACCGCTGGCGCCTGGGTACCTGCCAGGCGCCCCCAGCCCCTCACCTCCTGCTGATGAAGCCGTGAAACCAGGGTGGCAGCTGCCCCTGCTGGCAGATCCGGCTTGCCTGCGTGCGCTCGAACCATGCCCGGGTCCGGGCCTGCAGCGCCGACGGGGCCTCGGGAGGGTCCAGCCTGGGCCCCAGCCTCGCCTGCGTCTCTGCTCCCTGCACGGGGTCCCTGAGAAGAGACCAGCTCAGCTTGGCACTGGCCGCCGGCCATGAGCTGAGAGGGTCCTAAGGGAGTGAGAGCAACAGAGGCCTAGATGGGGGGTGGTGGTGGAGATGGGGGCCATGTCCTTCCACACACACCCCTTAGTGCCAAGCTGGGGCAAGCAGTGACTGAGGGGAGCCCACTCCCCCAACCCTGCCGTATGGTGGATGTGGCAGGCGGCACACCGAGCCCTAAGCCTAGGCCGAGCGAGGGCAGGAGGGGCCTCGCACCCTTTGCCAAGGCCCTTCTTTCCGGCAGTCCCTTGGGGTTCCCTTTGTGCTGACACCTCTGGGGAGCTAATCTCTGGCTTATCAAGTAGAGGCTTCTGCTTCCAGAGACCTGGAGAGGATCCTCTGGGGGTTTCTGTCCTTCTAGGACCAAAGGCCCTGGCCTCTCTGATAAGGACCTGAGCGAGATGCCATGAGCGGGCCACTGGGCCAGGCAGGTGTCCCAGGCCGATTAAAAATACTCCCCCTCCAGGAGCCAGAACGGACGGACGGATGGAAAGATACTGTAGGGTTCTCGGGTGAATAGACTAATGGATGGATGGATAGATACAGGAGGGGGGAGACAGAAGGATGGACGGATGGATGAGTACTATAGAGTGGACAGATGGATGAATGGATACTCTAGAGTGGATTGATGATGGACAGATACTGTAGGGTTGTTGGATGGATAGACAGGGTAGGATGGATGGATGGATGGATGGATAGACTGATGGACAGATACTGTAAAGGTGGATGGATGGACAACTAGTGAAGGATGGATGGATGGATTGACGGATAGATCCTGTACAGTGAATAGACATATGGACAGTGGACAGAAGGTGGATGGTTGGACAGATACGGTAGAGCAGACAGACAGACGAATGAATGGACGGGTAGACGGGCAGTACGGAGTAGACGGATGGATACTGTGGAGTGGGTGGGTGAGTGGATGGATGCTGTAGGGTGAGTGCCTCGTTACAGATGGGTGGCTGGACAGACGGCTGGACAGAAGAGTGGGCTGAATACAGTACCCGATGCATTTCCCCCCCAGCACGCACATTTGTTCCATTATTTAACCCGCTCTAGCAGACAGACACCCAGGGCACCCTCCCCCAGCTCCCCTCATTCTGCACCCGCCAGACGCTCCCCCCACACCGCAGAGCCCTGCACAGTCCCGAGCAACTGGAGAATGGCCAGTCCGACACCTCTCGGGACTGTGGTGCCGTGACCCGGAGCCGCAAGGTGCTGGATCGAGAGCTGCTGATTCCTACCCTGGTATAGGTGCCCTGGTCCCTCTGAGAGCCAGGAGGCTGCTTCTCTTTCTGGGCCCCGGCTGGCGCCCTGCTGAGCCCAGCACTGGTACCATCCAGCTGGGCCAGCTCGTCCGCGTTGTTGTCTTTGCTGAGACCGTTGGGTTTAAATGTGCTGAAGAGGAAGGGTCCCTGATTATCCCAGACGTCAGCCCCTGGGGATGGAAACAAACAGGGCTCGATCCTCCAGCAAGGCCCCCCTGTAGGCTCAAAAGCCTTCCCATCCCCCTGCACTCCTGCAGGTGCAAGAGTCTTCTCTGCAGCTCTCGTCCCCATCCCGGGTCTCTTTCCTGCCTGGCCTTTGGCCCCATTATGCAAGCCCCCTCAGGGGACTGCACTGGGCGGGGAAAAGGAGGTGGAGCTGGCCTGCAATGTAGATCGGCATCCACTGCCCTGCTTCCCATAGACCTTCCGAGCCATAAGAATATCTGTTGATGGGGAAACTGAGGCACAGAGCAGGGATGTACCTTGCCACACCTAGCAAGCCAGAGCTAGGATTAGAACCAAGGTCTCCAGCCAGCCCTGTTCCATTAGCCTGGCCTTGTTACACCTGACCCCAGAGGTGGAGAGCCCAGCAGCTGGTGCTGATTGCGGCTGCTTTGTTCTGTTCCTATGGAGGTGAGGTGGGGCTAGCCTGAGCCCTTGCAGATGGGAACAGCCTGGCAGGAAAGAAGTTTGTTTTGGGCTCTGGTCAGCCTAAATCTAAAGGATGCTGTTACTCCAGAAGAGGTTGAACTCATTACCTGCCGAGTCCAATCTGCAGCTGGAGCAGGCTGGGGAAACTGAGCCAGGGTGGCTGCAATGCTGTGCTCTGCTGCAAGGGGGCGCTCTGATGTCTTGCACCCTTCCGTAAAGCCTTGCGGTGCTGGATTGTCCACACACCTGCCAATGCTTGGGCCTTTATCGCTTCTCTCATGATACGGGTTGTTTTTCACCAAGCCGCAGCTCCTGGAGTCCTGTGATGAGGTGAGACTCCCAGCTCCCTCTCTCTTTGTTAAAATACTTTTCTAGCTTGGGATGTGTGTATATTTTTTTTCAAAATATGAGCCCTGGTTTAATCCTAAAGGCCCAGAAAACTAGAAGGCAAATAAAAAGCTCCCAAAATGTCTTATTGTTTTAAACAAAATCTCATGATTTTCTGGGCTCTGAATCACGACTTTTGAATTCTTGGAGTAGGCAGAAGTGCACCCTGCAGGTAGCCCTTGGTGCCTGCTTTCCCCAGGTGCCCATGATGCCGTGGGGGTTGAGGGGGAGAGAATTAATCCCCCAGGGTGCAGTTTCCAAATGCAGCCACCTTGCTCTAGAGGCGTGAGGAAGGGTAGAAAGAACATGGAGCATCTTCCTCGCCCTAGCAAAAAGATGCAAAATAAATGCCCCTGCTTTGCTGAATCTTCGCTGAGGAAGCAATAAGACAGCTGCTATGCCGGGATTGCAGCTAGGTCAGCTCAGCCACCCTCTCCTCTGTGTCCTTGCTCTGGATGGCACCGGGAGCAAAGCCTAGAGCTGCGCGGGGCGCGCTTTCCCTTCTAACATGCTGGTTGGGGTTGCTTTTAAACTTTGCCCAGCTTCCACTGTTCGGCTGATGTTTCCCATGCTGGGTATCTGAATTTTGGGGGCAAGTTTCTGCTAAAAACTTTCCGCTGTTTCAGAGAAAGAGTGTAGGGAAAAATCCGTCCTTCTGCCCATGCAGAAAAAATGCTTCCTATCCCGTATGGGACTGTGCAATCAAAGACTGCCCCAGAATTCAGCCCCCTTGCAGCAAGATTCACAGGAAGCCTTAACTGGGCACTTCTTACCTTTGGAGGGTTTGGTTTTTTACTAGCTTAATGTTCTTTTGATGGGTTTAACATAATCGCAACCTCTTCGGGGGCAGGGACTCTCTCTCAATGTGTATATCTAGCACCTTGTGGCCCTAATCTTCGATCGAGACCTTGAAGGCTACTGTAATAATCCCAGGAAATACAATTGTTCTGTTGTGTTCTAATCCTGATCTAATTACAGGGGATCTCTCAATAGTGTTTCATAAGGGTTAATTAAAACAGGAAGTAATTATTTAAATCAGTTGATCCATCCCACCTTCTTAGCATCCCGGAGATGTCTGCCAGCGATTGCCATGGCACGTTTCGGAGTCCTATTAATAATAGCCCATCTCCTGCCACTCAAATGGAGAGCAGGGTTTCAAGGCCCCAATCCTGCAATGTGATCAATATTTGTTTGTGCCCACAAGGACATCAGTTGATCTCCTTGGAGCTCTGCCCAGGGACAGGGTTGCACGCTCAGAGATCTGACTCTGGGATCAGGGCCTACCCTTGTGCAAAGGAGAGACACCTCTCTCGAAAGTGACCTAACTGTCTTTTCCTGTTGCTGCAGCCGAGTTTGTCCCAGGATATCAGAGAGACGAGGTGGGGGAGGCAATATCTCCTCTTGGACTTTTGACTTCTGTTGGCGAAAGAGACAAGCTTTCGAGCTACACAGAGCTCTTCTTCGGGGCCCGGAAATGTCTCTCTTTTACCAGCCGTATTGGTTCCCATAAAAGAGATCCCCTCCCGCTCTTGTCTCTCATTTCCCCTCCCTTTTGTTCCTTTAAGAAAGAAAAGGCACCAAGTCACGCCCCCAGCCCCCCCAGTCAGCATGAGCACCGTGGGAGTGCGGGCTGCTGCCCATTCCGTTCGGGCAGCGTTTGACATCTGCTTTGCACTGGGGCAAACAGCCAGCCCGAGGCTCAGGGTGCGGGAGTATTGGGCCTCCGCCTTCGAAAGCGTTTAGGCTAGGAGAGATGCCATGCGCTCACCGCTCCCCTCGGAGAATGCATTGCAGGGGTGGCTCTGGAGCAGGGCATAACTGGCCCATCAAACTGTCTGGCCCAGGTCAGCAGCTTAGGGCATGGATGTCGTCTGGAGGCTGGCATGAAACGAGCTGTGTGGGTCTCGGTGCGACCTCTGCCAGGAAGGGCTCTGCATTCCCCCAACCCAGCCCCCACAGCTGGGCAACCTCCGTAATGAGCTCCGCTCCAAGCTTGGCTCGTGGGAGGGGACCCGGGGCTCCATTGCCCAAGGGGACATGCCCTCCGGGTCACACCCAGGTCTGAACAGCTGCAGGACTCATGCACTGGATCAACCCAATGCTTGGCGGGCAGTTGCCCCTCTGTGGCATGGGGGGTAGATTCCCCACTCCTGCCTGCAGGACTCCGATCTCCCTGGCTCTCGCCCACGTCCCTCTTCACTGGACTCCCCTTAAGGGAACAGATCTGATCCTGTGAAGAGCGGTCGAGGTTGCTCCCGTCTCCCCCCGAGCCCCAGCGGCTCCTACCTGTCCTAAGGCCCTCCTCGACCTGGGAGTCCATGCCCTGCAGCAGCCCCTGCGGGGAGCTGCCCTCCGAGGCCCTGGCAGCGATGTCTGCTGGAGGCAGGGGAACTTGCAAGTCCTCCTCGCGTGCGCTCTGCATGCAAAGGGCAGGAAGCAGCTACCGAAGCCACAAGATGCTGCTCGTTCACGGGCGAGCAAAGGAGCGCTGCCGGCGACGTCATGGAAAAGGAAAGTGCCGTGGCAGAGTTCTGGGGCTAGGTGCTGGGGCTGGAGATGAGGGGGTGGGGTCACCGCAGCGCTGGGCAGGACAGGGCCTGTGTCTAGGCTAAATCCCTCTGTGCCAGTCTGGGGGGCTGAAAAACCAGCCAGCTCGCGGCAGCTGGAGCTGGTCAGAGGGGCCTGCTGAGTACTAGCCCATGAGACCTGGGTTCGAGTCCAGACGCTGCCCTAGCCTCCCTGAGTGACCTTAGACAAATCACTTGAACTCAGTTTCCCCCTTGTATAACGGAGAATCATCTTTCCTTCGTCTCGTTAGACTATCACTGAGCCCCCCGAGGGAACTGTCCGTGGCTCTGGGTCTGTGAAGGGTCTGGTGCAAGGGGGCCCTGATCTCAGTTGGGGTGTCTGGGTGCTGATGCTAGACAAACAAGTACCGTTAAACATGAGACCCCCTCGGTATTATCCTGCCAGGGTGTTTGAGATAAGGTGCTTTTGCTATTTGGAGGCCTGACCTGGGCGAGATCACCGGGGAAGCTGTCTGGGGCCAGGCTAGTCCTTGGACGGGGGACCTCGAAAGCGTTCCAGGGCACAGTGGGGAGAGCAGCGTACCCTCTGCTGCAGGGGTGTGGGGTGGGTGACCCAGCAGGGGGCGCTCTCCTACCAGGCGGGGCTGCCCCAGGGTGGCAGGGCTGTGCCACTGAGCGGGTGACCTAATTCTCTTCCCGAGTAAGGAGGAGGCAGTGCTGAGGCAGGGCCATGGGTTCGAGGCTTCGAGCTTCCGCCACCGTTCTGTGTGCCCAGAGTCTGTCCCAGATTTCCCAAGGGACTGGGTATTTTGTGATCCCGGCGGAAGGCTTGTCAATTAAACAATTAATGTTTGAACAGGGCTTTGGAAACTTAAAGAGCTCTAAAAGAGCCAGGTCTTGTTTATCGGACCCAGCCAACAGATGGGCAAGGGATTCCTAGATCCCAAGACTAGCGGGACCACTGTGATCACCTAGTCTGACCTCCAGGCCAGAGAACGGCCCCAGAACAATCCCTAGAGCAGAGCTTCTAGCAAAACATCTCATCTTGATTTTAAAATGATCAGAGATGGGTTAAGGAAGCGACTTGGGAGCCAGGACTCCTGGGTTCCTTTCCATGCTCTGACAGGGGAGACCTCAGTGGTTAGAGCAGAAGGCTGGCAGGCAGGATTCCTGGGTTTAAACCCCTCTGCCAGTGATCCTGGGTGAGTGTCTTCTCTTCTCTGTGCCTGATTCCCCTCAGCAAAATGGGGTAAAATATTTGTCCCCCTAGGCTGTGAGTAGAAACTCCCTCTCTCAGTGGAGTTGGGGGGAAGCTAAATTTAGAAGAGCACCTAAAGCTGGTGGGGGGGTTGGTCAAAGGTTATGGCCCCACCCACCAGCTGATCTTCATACAAATATTCTCCCTCCCCCACACCCAGGCCAATCCAACCGGGTGTTTTACTATGATCCTGTCTGTGAAAAGTCTTCTTCAATCAGTCCAGCCAGGAGGGAAGAACAGTCCCCTGGGGTGGGGGAGGCCGCCAATCACACTTCGCCAGTGGCTCCCATAAGCTGGAAACTTTGTCTAAACAGCTCATACTTGGCAGGAAAAGGGGGTTGAGTCGCGAGCCACCGGGAAGCAGAAAAAGGGCAAAATCCTGTAATTTACTTATAAGGAAAAATATAGCCAACTCGCTGCAGGCAACTGCACTGGCTCCCTCTAGTGGGCCAAAGTCTCCCTGCAGCCTCATTAGTTCCTGTGTGTTGCAAATTTAACATTAGAGCCATGGGAGGATGATAATGATGATTGATGATTGATGGCTACTAAAGCTCCAGCTGAGATCAGGGTGCTGCTGTGGTGGGCGCTGCATAGAGTAAGAGACAGTCCCTGCAGAGAGCTTGCCGGTCTCAGTATACAAGAGACAAAGGTACTTTTGTAGCCCCAGGAAGATCAGGGAAGAGTTCCGCTCTGTGTGAATCTGCAGTGAGATTCAGGGGTGGCTGGGCCCGGCAGCCGAAGGGAAAGCAGTCGCAGATCGAGTGTTTAGGACGGCCAGGATTCGTGCTCCCTGGCTGGCTATAATGCGAAGAGAAAGAGCTCTTAATTGCATCTCTCGGGCCTGTGGTAACGAAGGGCACATCAAGTATAGCTGTTTAAACGGATCAGCCATGGCAGCTGAGACTAGGACACCCGCCCATTGGCTTCAGGCATCAACTGGCTCGGGGTGATTCCAGGTGCTTCCGCGGATGCATTACTGATTATAGGGCAATTGTTCCCCAAGATCTGGGTTCTAATCCCAGGCCCTTTGCTTCGCTCTCAGTTTCCCCTCTGTGAAATGGGGGTAATGCTACTGACCTTCCTTTGTGAAGCCCTACAAGTTCTATGAATCTGGACAGCCAGGCTGGGTATCTGGGGTAACACAAGCTTAATTTCTTTTTTGTTTTTTTCCCGTTTCCCTGACTTGCTGCGGTTACCCAGCTGGGCATTTCAGGGCCCCTCTGCACAGAAATGCTTTCATTAAATCTGTCCAGTGAAATCGGTGGAAGCCCTGTGTTGATTACTTTGGTATAACACCTTGTCTATATGAGAAAATTTGACCAGTTACCCCAGCGTAACCCCTCATGTGCACACACTGTTTCACCTACCAAAGTATTTGTGTTTGTTTAGTTTAAACCTCTTCTTAAGCAACGCAAATTAATCTGGGGGAAAAAATAATAATAGCCCCTGGCTCTTATAACCCATTGCTCTCAGCATACTTTACAAAGGATCTCCGTGTCGGTATTGCCATTGTACAGGTGGGGAAACTGAGGCACCGAGAGGCAAGGTGACTTGCTCAAGGCCATCCAGCAGCAGAGCCAGGAATAGAATGCTGTTCACCTGAGTCCCGGGCCAGTGTGCTATCCACTAGGCCACACTACCTCCCTCTGCCAGATACCCTTATCCCAGAATCAGGGTGGCTTATACCAGTGTTACAATTTCAGTTTAAATTCTCTCTGTTGGTTAACCGGGTGCAATCATCGCAGGTGGACAAGACTGCAAGCTCTGTCCCTCATCAATGCCTGGACAGCACCTAGCACTTCATGGATGGGCCTGCAAATGCACAATCACGCTGTTGTGGCATGTCTGTGTTGGTGGAATCCCTGCAGTTCCAATGTCCTTTAACCGGCTGGGGTTAAAGTCCCCCCACATGTGACATGCAGTTTTATTCTACCTTAAGAGATCTGTTCCTCCTCTTTCTTTTCACACCTCAGCAGCCTCCCAGCCTTACCCTGGTTCCCCTCTGGGCATTTTGGTTAGAATGTTTTTATCTGTCAAACAGGTTTCCTGTTTGCAATCCCCCAGCTTCTGAGCCACAGAGCAAAGCAGAGAAAGGGGAAGAGAAGTCTTTTTTTACAGCTGATTTGCCCTGCTCTCTGAGTTCAGCGAGGGCTAAGCAGAAGGCAGGAGATCCTGTGGTTCTGGGAACAGCTGGACTCAAATACCCTTGGATTTACTGTTCCAGCTCCGGGAGAAATCAAGGCACTGGGCAATGCTGCTTCGAGTGACCTTAAGAAACCTGTCCTAGCTTCTGTTTGCTGTTGGCCATGATTTTTGGGAAGGCCTATCTCAGGGCTTTCTCAAGAGAACTTGATGGAAGGATCATATTTTTTTAACAGGTTTTCTCAGGGTCTTGCTCATTTCAGAGTTTGCTGCCTTTTTTTTTTTTAAATCCCATAAAAATCTAGGGACTCTGAGTCACTTTATTTGGAGCCTGCTTTGCTGAGTCTGGGGGTGGTAGTTAAATAAAGAGGAGGAGGAGGAACGAAACAGCTGGGATTGGTCAATATCAGAGGAAACTGGCCAGAATTCCCCACCAGGAGAGGTGTCATAGACGATCTGAGCTCTTTCATATATCGCCTCTCAACAGAAAACTAACCAGAGCTGGTTCATCTGAGCTGCCTACACGCTGGGGAGACCAGACGTCTTGCTGTCCAGGAAAATTCTGGAGTGACTCTCCTGTATTGGTTCTGAGCGCGGTGGGATTTCTGGAAAGGAAGCAGTCACAAGCCACCAGGAGGCTAGTTCCAAAGAAACACAAGAGGAGCACAATTACTGTGAGCCGAGAACTTGGTGAGTAAGGATGGATGCAACACAGAGTTTGTTCTCATCCACCCAAAGCAAACAGGTGGTTGTCTTTGTAATCAGCAGATCCCCAGCCAGTGTAATTCAGCGGGGCTGCAGCCAAGTCAGTGGAGTGATGCGAACTTACAGGAGCGGGGGATCTGGCCTTGCATGGTTTTGCGGCAGTGGGGAAGATCTCAGGGGATGTTCTGGTCAGTGATAAGGTGTGGGAGGTGACCTACCATCTTGTTGTGATCCTTTTAATCTGGCAAGTTTCAGAACAGGGTCTGCAAAATAGTCATAGAAATAAAATCAGGGAAATACAGGGCTGGACGGACACCAAGAGGTCCATATCTTCCCCGGCTGAGGCACGAGCATTTACCATTCCATGTACCGAAACTATTTGCCCATTCCAGAGAAAAAACAAAGGATGTTTTTACTTGCCTGAATGGAGCAGAATTTTGCAAAGCTGTTGTTTGTTCTCACTCATGGGCTGCTTTCCCTGCTGTTTGCTAGTGGGACGGGGGAGAGAGGCATGTCTGTATCAAAGGGTTGAGTCATCTCTTTCTCCACGGCTCCTATCAGTTTTGTCAGTCCCCCTCATTCCCCCCCATTTGGACACCGAGGTATTTTGAAAGTGAGATTCCATATTTGGAAATTTACATGGCAAATCTGGCCGGCTTATTTTCCTCTTTATTGAATGATGCAAATAATATTTATTTTGTGCAGCTGCTTAGTGGAGATGAGGCTGATTTCAGTAAACAGCTCCTGTGGGCAACAGCAGGGTGTGCTGATTTATTTTTGGATCAGGTACCAGAAGGGGATTCCTATCAATGGGAGCAGATA